GTACTTATAATATTAACAATCTTATCATCAACAACAATCTTTAAAGCTATAATTCTATCTCCAATTCTATTAATTTTTATAACATTATCCTTTAAACTCTTATCTATAATAACACCTACACCATTTCTAGTACGACTCCTACCCGAATACCAAAGTTTAAATCCTAAACTATCAATTTTCTTAGCCTTATCTCCAACCCATTTAGTTTCCAGAATGCACAAAATATTTAACTTCCTATGAATCATAATATCTATTAATTCCATTAATTTTCCAGTAAGGGAACCTATATTTCAAGTTCTTATCCTAATTTTAGTTTCATGGACTAGCTTCTTTGCCCACATCCGTCCTTGATGTGGGAACCCTTGCCTATTTAACACTGCACCCGGGCGCCAGTGTAGCGGCCCTTACACACTTGTCATTGTATTCAGGCCATACAGCGCGTCGCCTCCAGGGGACGCCCTAGCATTAACACAATTTCTTAAAGGATTCATGTCATTATTATTCGACAAGTTTTACGCTGGCTGTCGACTACCTAACGCAACCCTCCACTTTTCTCATCCAGGACTTGGGACCTAGCAACGACAGTGTTATAGGGTTAAAAGCATGCTAATTCAAAATCTTATTTTGAAACTAATCACTCACATATGCTTTGATCGCCATATTGAACTCTCCGAGAATGCTATGCGGATTAAATAGGAACCTAAACCTCAAGTCTGATACTTCATATAAGGGATTGGCATTGACAATACCTCAACTAACAACCAAACATAAGCTCTTAAAATTCACTGAGAAATTTATTTTAAATTATACATTAGGCCCTTAAAGCCTCTCTAAATTTATTTCATTATAAAATTAAAAAAAGTTTTATTGGGTCTTCTATTGATGATCCTTGAGAGATTATTTCTTCTCGAGAGGGCTTTAAGCAAATGAGATAAAGGGTGAGGCTGTGTAAGAGGGAGAAGAATCTTGAGTGTGTCAAGAGAGTATGAAAGGGGTTTTTCCATACTGCTTCTCTGATCAACTTCCAGCAGAGTTCCTCCATGCATCATTATTTATGTTGAGGAAAACTTTGTAAAGGAAGACTTCAAAGCTAAAGTTCGTCGGCTACTCTGCCACTTCAAGAAGGTAAAAAAAAAAGACTCTCCATGAAACCTAGGAGGTGAATGAGATTTTGGTTCTTCACCGCACTAATGAGGGGAAAGATATTTTGGAT